CTGTATGTGTATGTTTTGTATGGATATGTTTAAAGCTCTAGCACATTGTTAGGATGTATTCTTTGAAGATTTCTGGGGCCTTTGAGCATTTTGATTTATTTATTAGTTTATTTCTTAGTTTCTGGATATTTTAAACAGTTTTAAATATCATGAGTTTTCTGTTTCTTATTTGATTTTGCTTGTTTTTTTAAAAATATATTTTATTGATTTTTTACAGAGAGGAAGGGAGAGGGATAGAGAGTTAGAAACATCGATCAGCCGCCTCCTGCACATCTCCTACTGGGGATGTGCCCGCAACCCAGGTACATGCCCTTGACCGGAATCGAACCTGGGACCTTTCAGTCCGCAGGCCGACGCTCTATCCACTGAGCCAAACCGGTTTCGGCTGATTTTGCTTGTTTTTAAGATTTGGTTAATTTCTTAAAATCCTTTTAAATGGGAAGTTTTGGCTATTTGTTATTGTTCCATCCCACATTTATTAACTATCAGCATCATTATTTTTTGTTGTTATTAATCCTCACCCTAGGATATTTTTCCATTAATTTTTTTTTAGAGAGAGTGGAAGGGAGGGGGAGAGACACACAGGGAGAAACATCAATATGAAAGAGACACAAGGATTGGTTGACTCTCACACACACCCCAGCCTGACCCAGGGATTGAGTCTGCAATTGAAATACGTGCCCTTGATTGAATTGAACCCAGAACCCTTCAATCCACGGGCTGATGCTCTATCCACTGAGCCAAACTGGCTAGGGCAGGGGTGGGCAAACTTTTTGACTCGAGGGCCACAATGGGTTCTTAAACTGGACCAGAGGGCCGGAACAAAAGCATGGATGGAGTGTTTGTGTGAACTAATATAAATTCAAAGTAAACATCATTACATAAAAGGGTATGGTCTTTTTATTTTTTAGTTTTATTCATTTCAAACGGGCCGGATCCAGCCCGCGGGCTGTAGTTTGCCCATGGCTGGGCTAGGGTGAGGTTTTGGGTTTGATCTCTGGTCGAGGCATGTGTAGGAGGCAACCAATCTATGTTTCCCTCACATATATGTTTCTCTCCCCTCTCTAAAATAAAAACAAAGTTCTCATCACAGGAAAAAATATTTCTGACTATATGTGGTGATGGATGTTAACTAGACTTATTGTGGTGCTCATGTAGCAATATCTACATATATTGAATTATGTTGTACCTGTAAAGCTAATATGATACATGTCTATTACATCTAAATTTTAAAAAAATGTAGGCTTTGACATCAAACGCCATGGATTCAAACCCCAGCTTCTCCTCTCACTAGCTGTGTGAGTTTGGGCAGATTACTTAACCTCTCTGGGCTTTTTCTTCTAGCCATACATAACAGGAGGGTACTAGTACCTATATTGTGGCAATGAAACAAAACACATAAGGCCTTAACATTGAATCAGACACTAAGAATTGATTACTGATGTTGGTAACAATAATTAAAACGATATGATGCTGACAAAATTATTGACCTTGGTAGATGACTAGTAGATTAAAGTTTCTTTGTCCTTTCACTAAAAAATTTAAAAAGTGTTTTAGAAAAGGGGACATATATAATACTTTCAACAATAAAGTATTATTTTTAAAAAGTGTTTTAGAATTTCTGGGTCAAGTAGAATCAGGAATAAAGTGTAGTTTCTGAGCTTAGGTACTCTTCTGAATGATGATAAATTAAATCCCTGCCCACCAGAATGCTTAAGGAATCAGTCACTTTGTAGGAATTTTTAGAGTGGCTTGGGGCTCATCCTTAAGCATGAGACATTTTAGTATTGTAACTTTTTTTTTTAATCTTCACATGAGGACATTTTTTTCCATTGCTTTTCAGAGAGAGTGGAAGGGAGAGAGGAAGTGGGGGGTGGGGGGGAGAGAATCATCAATGTGAGAGAGACACATCGATTGGTTGTCTTCTGCACATGCCCCGACTGGGAGTGGGGAGTGAACCTGCAACCCAGGTATGTGCCCTAGACCAGGAATCGAACCCTTGACTCTTCAGTGCGTGGGCCGATGCTCTAACCATTTATCAGCACTGGCAAGGGCTTGTAATTCTTTTTATTGGAAATAGCTCTAAATCAGGGGTCCTCAAACTTTTTAAACAGGGGGCCAGTTCACTGTCCCTCAGACCGTTGGAGGGCCGGACTGTAGTTTAAAAAAAAACTATGAACAGATTTCTATGCACACTGCACATATCTTATTTTGAAGTAAAAAAACAAAACGGGAACAAATACAATATTTGTATTTGCATGTGGCCCGCGGGCCGTAGTTTGAGGACCCCTGCTCTAAATTATACTCTATGCCTCTGTGCTTTTTAAAGCCAGTGTTTGGTTTTTGTATTAGTTTCCTGTAGCTGCTGCTGCAAAGCACCACAAACTGGGTGGCTTAGAAGAGCAGAAATTTATTCTCTCACAATTGTGGAGGTCAGAAGTTCAAAATCAAAGCATCAGCAGGGTTGGTTCCTTCTGGGGGCTCAGAGGGAGAATATATTCCATGCGTCTCTTCTAGCTTTGGGGGCTGCCAGCAGTTCTTGGTGTTCCTTGGCTTGTGACCGCATCATTCCAATGTCTGCCTCTGTCATCTCATGGACTTCTCTATGTCTTCCCCACTTCTCTTCTTTTATAAGGATTCTTATCTTTGGATTTAGGGCCCATCCTAATCTAGGATGATCTTATCTTAAAATCCTTAACCTAATTGCATCTGCAAAGACCTATTTTCCAAATCTGGTCACATTCACAGATTCTGGGCGGCTATTGAGCCTCACTCTCTCTGAATCATGTTGGCAGTTAGTATTATGGTTTATTGGTAATGGCAGTTTGGAGTGTTCATTCTTTAGCCCTTATTCCCTCAGGACAGCCTGTAGAGCAGTGGTTCTCAACCTTCTGGCCCTATAAATACATTCCTCATGTTGTGACCCAACCATAAAATTATTTTCATTGCTACTTCATAACTGTAATGTTGCTACTGTGATGAATCGTCATGTAAATATCTGATATGCAGAATGGTCTTAGGCGACCCCTGTGAAAAGGTCGTTCGACCGCCAAAGGGGTTGCGACCCACAGGTTGAGAACCGCTGCTGTAGAGAGATACAAGGGGAAAACAGGTCAAAGGGCAGCTTTGATCATGAAGGTCCAGTGCTGCTCAGAGGCCAGAGGTTCCTCATTGAACTGAATGGGAGAGCTTGTGTGGGACCCAAGGCCAAAGTGGGGACAACCTCACCTCTCAGTAAGGGGACTTGCCTGTGGGGGATGGCCCTATGACGTGGACCCCAGGCCTGCCTCCCACCAGCAGCTCACAGCAGGGTCAACAACCTGCCTCTCACACCCAGGTAATGGTTGAAAGACCATGAAGTAGAGGCTGGGCTGGTCTGGGCATTGCTCTATGAGCCTGGCCTGTGCGTCCGAGAGGGAAAGAGGGCACCAGAAGTGTGGGCCCAGGATACCTTCCTGGACAGTGGCCCTCCTCCCTGGTTGGTGTGGACTTACCTATCCCACCCGGCTGCCGAGCGACTCCTCTTCCCCTAGGAAGACCAGACATGAGTAAGTGGAAGGAGAAACTGGCAGTGTTGACTCTAATACTGCTTCCTTCCAGGGAGCAGAGTTGATGTCCCTCCCTCAATGTAGGAGTGAGAATGGGGGTGAGGGCTCAGCCAAGCTGTTGTGCTCAAATGTGTTGTGATCCCCAGTTCCCATGGGCCAAACATTGGGACAGGAAATACTTACCTCTGCTGTCTCTTGGAATCTTGGCTTGATACCAACTAGCTTTGCTACCTGCGTCCTTTATGTAGAGCTGGGTGAAGCAAGGGCAGCTACGGAATCTCCAGAGCAACATAAAATTAAGTAGCAAGTGAGCCAGGCTATGGTGGCTCAATGGACTGAGCGTAGTCCCTGGACCAAGAGGTCCCGCGTTCAATTCCCAGTCAGGGCACATACCCCGGTTTCAGGCTTGATCCCCAGTAGGGGGCGTGTGGGAGGCAGCCAATCTATGATTCTCCCCATTGATGTTTCTGTCTCTCTTTCCATTTCCCTTCCTCTCTGAAATCAATAAAAATATATTTTAAAAAAATTAAGTAGCAAGTGGAAAGTTTAGCAGCCTTCTCTCAGGTACTTTCATCACCTTCCTAGAAAGTCACCTTTCCTGCCAGTTTTGACTTCTTTGCTTCCTGTGTATTTTTCTCCTTCTAGCGGCTGTTTGCTATCATGTTGCTTTTGTAATCCTTGCAGATGTTAATCTGAATGAGGAATATTCCTCATCATGTAACATTTTTGTTCTTAGGTGTTGGAGAGTTTGCTTCCAAGCCCTAAAATATCTTCAGCCCCAAGATGACATTTCTACCTACTTAGTATCAGACCAGCCATCTCTCATGTTCTTTGAACAGATCTCCTGACAAAAGCAACAGTAAAGATCGTGCCTCTAATGGCAAAATGTGATTAAGCATCTTATGTAGAATGGAATTTCCTCATAAAATTGATCTAAATGCCTTGTAACATTTTAAATGGTTCTCTTAGCACCATTTTTTTCAGGCATGCCATGAATAACCTGGCTTTTGTGGGCCAGCTGGGAATGTAGCAATTTAAAAAAAGTTTTTATTGAATTTATTGGGGTGACATTGGTTAATAAAATTATATAGGTGTAGCAATTTTTAATGTAGACACTTAGAATGTGTTTTCTTATATAATGTCACCTTACAAAGTTGATATTGGAATGTTTCCTATTGACAGAGAATGCATTTTTTAGTACAATGTCTCCTTATAAATGAATTCAAGGACAGCTCATGTTTATAAGATGGGGACAGCCTTTTTGTATTTTTAATGCTTTTAACTTTTTCTCTGATTTATATTTGTGCTTGCTTATGTAAAGCAACGTGGGGATTTCTTATGATTTTGAAATCTGCCTACAGGTTTGAGTTCCCTGGGGGTAGGGTAGAGATTTGAATCAAGTACATCAAGTTCAAGGCTTGTCTGCTCCTCAGATTTTGAAAAGCGCCTTGGGTGCTCGCTTTGGCAGTATACATACTAAAAAAATTGGAGTGATACAGAGAATATTAGCATGGCCCCTGAGCAAGGATGACATGCAAATTTGTGAAGCTTTCCATTTTTTAAATATCACATAAAGGTTAGAGGAGGCAAAAACATTAAAAAAGATAGAAGAAGACAATAGCTACTGCAATTTGGAAATGAGCTCTCGGCATAAATTAGGATACTCTGCGACAACAAAAACATAAAAGGGGAGAAGGTAAAGGTCTGAATTTGCAAAGGGGAATGGAGATAAGATACATGCATATAACCTTAAGCTTGTCCTCTCTCCCAGGTATGAAAGGCTACAGAAAACGTGCTCCATAGCCCTGGTCGGCAAATACACCAAGCTGAGGGACTGCTATGCCTCTGTGTTTAAAGCTCTGGAACACTCAGCCTTGGCCATCAACCACAAGTTGAATCTGATGGTGAGTCACGGCCCGGTCGTCTGGATATTTCAGTCATTCACTCTGATATAGCTTGTGCTTCAGAGAGGTAGACTGTGTCTATGGCCAAATCACCCTGAATGCACCGATCTCATCAAAGAGGTTGATTGTGTTGAAGGACCCCCAAGTCCAAGTTTCCAGATGCCAGCCAAGGGCCAACCTTGTAAGCAGGCCTTTCCACTGATAGCCATGTTAACTTTATTGAGCATACAGGTTTAAGGCACAGTTCCTGAAATTAGGCTTTGCACATCCAGGGCCATATATACTTCATGCTCATGTAAGTACATTATGTTTGCCTAACAAGATAATAATAGAACTTTTTTCCCCTTTAGCAATTGAAATGGAATCCAGATTTTAAAAATGCTATATTGCCTTTTCTAACTTGTAGGAGTGATATCTGGCAAACAGTGATTATTATTATTATTATTATTATTTTTAAATCCTCACCCGAGGATATTTTTCCATTGATTTTTAGAGAGAGTAGAAGAGAGGGGGAAAGACAGAGAAATATCGATGTGAGAGAAACACAGTGGTTGGTTGCCTCCTGCATGTGCCCCGACCAGGGCCAGGGCTGGGGAGGAGCCTGTAATCGAGGTACATGCCCTTGACCAGAATCAAACCTGGGACCCTTCGGCCCATAGGCCTATGCTCTATCCACTGAGCCCAACCAGCTAGGGCTGATTATTTGTTATTTATTTATTTATTTTTTTGGGGGGGGGGGGTAAGGGGATGAGATCAACCAAAGGACTTGTATGCATGCATATAAGCCAAACCAATGGACACAGACAACAGGGGGGTGAGAGCATGAGTGGGGGCGGGGGGAGGAAGGGGGTTAATGGGGGGGGATAGGACACATTTGTAATACCTTAACTAATAAAGAATTTTTTAAAAAGTCGATATTAAGGAAAAAATTGTAAATGGAATATTATAAGAGAGGGTTTCACGTGCCAGCAAACGTTACTGCTGTGCCATGTTTGGCACGCGTGCCAGGGGTTGCCCACCCCAGGTCTATATATTCTGTAGACAAATATTTCACATTAAGCATTTTGTAGCCTTCAGTCCACTCTTTTTTTTTTTCCAGTAGAAACTCTTGAAGTAACGTTGTCTTAATGTTTTTAGTCTCAGGAAATAGAAGTGCTAGTTTAATGTTTTAACACCGGCACTAGAGTGCATAAGACCTCGTTAGGGGAAGAAGCGCGGTAGAACAGGGAGGTATCTGTAATACTATCAGCAATTTTTTAAAAAAAGCAAAACTTTTTTTTAAAGAATTATTTCCTAGACAAGGTTTTTGTGGGCAGCTTATTCTACTAAAAGCGAACGTAAAATTTGCATATTATGTAAATGAGGCTGACGGGAAAATGACAATCTGAGGTTAAAAAGGACAAATTTAAAAGTTTTCTTAAATTTATTTCCTGAATATTGGACTGCTATTTAGAGGGTAACCTGGAAATTTTTATTCCAGCACTAAATTTTAACATAAAGTAACCACCATTACACCGTAATAGGAGTTGCTTTTACCTGAGGGGTGAATTACAAGCGGGGACCAGTATCTCTCCCTTTATCCCTGTGTATTTGGGGGAGGCAGCTGATCAATTTTTGGCGGCCTTGTTTCGGCAAGGCTTTTTTGTCTTGTTTAAAAGAAAGAAATGGAAAAAAAGTCAGTTGGTTTAGGTTTAAAGATCGAAAGCCGAGCTTTATCAAAGATGGCGCCGTTCTCCGAGAGCTGCGCAGCGAAATTTGTTGGGACATACACCCTGACCTGGAATTGAACCATGACCTCCTGGTTCATAGGTCAACGCTCAACAATTGAGCCACGCTGGCTGAGCTTGAGTATATTTTTTGTGGTTGTGAGATATAAAGTACCTGCTCAGTGTAGAAAAATTTGAAAAGATTCATGTAAAATGCAGAAAGCGAAAAATTTCACTTCCCTGATATCCCACTTTTCTCTGTACCTCTCATTCCCAGTTTAATGCATATCTTTCTAGACTTTTCTCTCTCTATATAGAAATGTTTATATTTAATGATAATTCTGCATGGGTATATCATACTTCAAGAAAGCCTTATCATCATGATTTATTTGGTAAAACTTTTATATAAAGAGCAAAAAGATATATTTTTATGTCCAAGAAATTTAGTAATTTCCACCAGCTTGGGACCTATGACTTTTCTCTCACCTCTTGTAGCCTCCTTTTTGTTTTTGTTAATCCTCACCTGAGGATATTTTTTCCCATTGAGTTTTAGAGAGAATGGAAGGGAGGGCGAGAGAGAGAGACACACTGATGTGAGATAGACACATCGGTTGTTTACCTCCCAGCAGGGATGGAGCCTGAAAACAAGGTACGTGCCCTTGATTGGAACTGAACCCCTAATCCTTCAGTCTGTAGGCCAACGCTCTAACCACTGAGCAACCGGCTAGGGCTCACCTCTTGCAGCCTCCTTCTTTTCTAACCACTTGTAATTTTTGGCTTTCCAAGGAATATTGCCCTTCCTGTTCTTTCCATCCCTCCAAGTCCTCCACCCCCTTGTAGAAAACAGAAAACATCAATAGAAAAATTGTTATGATGCAAATTGTGTTGAGCCTTTAAAATTTCATATCTTAATATGTAATCAGGTAATAATTTTTACAAAAGAAATACTAAAATAATATAGTTATGTGAGGATTGTTAAGAACATATGAATTGTTGCCCTAACCGGTTTGGCTCAGTGGATAGAGCGTCGGCCTGCGGACTGAGGGGGTCCCAGGTTCGATTCTGGTCAAGGGCATGTACCTTGGTTGTGGGCACATCCCCAGTAGGGGGTGTGCAGGAAGCAGCTGATCGATGTTTCTCTCTCATCGATGTTTCTAACTCTCTATCCCTCTTCCTTCCTCTCTGTAAAAAATCAATAAAGTATATATATATTTTTTTTAAAAAAACATACGAATTGTTGACACGAGTTTTCATTTAATAGAATTCACTGGCATTAGCTTCTGCTCAGTACTATTTGAGTCATGGTCCTGGCGGATTCTTTTTAAGTCCAGTCTGTTGCTGTGTTTACATTGCTGAACTACTGCAGTGATGTCCCGACTGCTTTCCAGTCCTTCCTTCATTTTCCATATTGTTCTGGAATGATCTTTCTACAGTTTCTCTCTGTTCCTGTTGTCCCTTCACTTAAGATCGTTAAGTGGCTTCAAGTGTAAACTTCTCTGGCTGGGTGGAGCCTCTTCAGAGGTCCCCAGAGTGGCCACCACTTTATTTCTTTCTCTGAGGTTTTATATACTGTTTCTGCACTTCCCACCCCCTCTCCCCCATTATCCTTTTGTCTTCTGCACACCTTCCCACCTGCCTCCCAACTAGCACACACATGCTCATCTTGCTTCTGTTCATCCTCAAGGGCTTAGCTTTTTGGACATCACCTTCCCAGCAGTCTTCTCTGGTGATACTGCCTCCCTTCTTTCCTTCAGCATCCAGGTCTAGATTAGGTGTGACTGCTGGTTACTTCCGCAGCATTCTCTTCCTTGTTCATTGTGGCCATTATTCCACTATGTTGTTGCTACCTGTTTATCTGGTTTTGTAATCTTCCTTAAAGATAATAAGAGCTCTAAGACAAAGATCATGCTTTTCTTTTTTTTTAAAATTTCTTTATTGATTAAGTTATTACATATGTGTCCTTATCCCCACATTACCCCCCATCCCCCCACCAAAGATCATGCTTTTCTATCCCAAGTGTCCAGTACAGTGTTTGCATAACAAGTAGTTATTGAGTAATTTTGTCATAGTGTTAGATAGTTCTTGTATTTCTTAAATGTTCTTTTTATCTGTTGGATGTTTTTAGTACATCGACTCCATTGATCTGGAGCACACCACCGAAACTGAGGACCCTGTGAAATTCCATGAAGCGTGGCAGAAGCTATGCAAAGCTGAGTGAGTCCTGGGGACCGTTCACCCTAGTTAGGAGAATGACACTGTGCTTTTTCTGTAAGGATTTGATTGTCCCAATTATTAAATTTTGCATTTTGAAAGGTAGCCTGGAGTACTTATGGTCATTAGGGGTGGTTGTGAAACATTCACATCACATTTACTTTTCTTTTTTTTTTCTTCTTTTTTATTGTCTAAAGTTTTACATATGTCTCCTTTTTCCCCAATTGACCCCCCCCCTCCCAGCCATTCCCACCCTGGGGAAGCCCCCACCGCCCCAGTGTCTGTGTCCATTGGTTATGCTAATGTGCATGCATACAAGTCCTTTGGTTGCTCTCTAGCCCCCACTCCTCTACCATTTGTCTCTGGATCTATTCTTTTTTTTAAAATATATTTTATTGATTTTTTACAGAGAGGAAGGGAGAGGGATAGAGAGTTAGAAACACTGATGAGAAACATCGATCAGCTGCCTCCTGCACACCCACTACTGGGAATGTGCCCGCAACCAAGGTACATGCCCTTGACCGGAATCGAACCTGGGACTCTTCAGTCCACAGGCTGACGCTCTAGCCATTGAGCCACACTGGTCAGGGCTGGATCTATTCTTTTTTTTAAAAAATATATTTTATTGATTTTTTACAGAGAGGAAGGGAGAGAGATAGAGAGTTAGAAACATCGATGAGAGAGAAACATCGATCAGGTGCCTCCTGCACATCTCCTACTGGGGATATGCCCGCAACCCAG